AATCCACAATTCAGCTCTTTCTGGGTTACAACCTTCAGAAAATTGTGGAGGTTTATTTATCATAAATTCAATTAAACCTTGTGATTCATTGGTTCGTTCGGGTATTTGATTCCTTAATAATGCAAGAACCATGTCTCGGATAGCTTTTACTGCTTTCGTCAACTCGTTGTTCTTGCTATTATTTGTCATCTCGGAATTATATAAGTTAGGATTCATAAGATCTTATAATAGACTCATTTCACAGGTCACACATGAAACGTTGCTCTTGTACCATCTAATGTGACATTTTTTTTAGAAGGGTAGCAAGTAAAATAAAGATATTTTATATATAAAAGTAATTTACATTGCTAATTTTTTTTACAGGATATATAAAAGAAGAAGAAATTTTATTTATTTTTTATTCCTTCTATTCTTACTACAATTATACAAATATTTACATTGTCTGGTGAAAACAAACTGATTAAAGGGTTTTGGTGAATTATAGGAAACATGCAGAAGGTGATCACTATTGGTCCATCTAGCATGATGTGAGTTCTCACATCAGATACAAATATTAATAATGATAACCATGTTCCTTTAAAAGTAACCGAGTTGTCAATGATGTTTGTGTTCCAAGTTGTTCCTGGAAAGAAGGTACGTAGTAATATTTGCAGAAAAGGGATTTTGGATATTTGATGCCTCCATCTACTTAAGTTGATATTTAAATATAACATGTACAAAAGGTCACAATAGTGAGTGAGAACAATTATCATTTAAAATAATACAACCTTATAGTACATATATAAAATATGTTTTTCAACTTCTTCAACACATTCTATGTTATGAAGATTTAAATTAAATTTGTATTGACTAGTCAAGATAAATGAGCCCAATTTTAATCACACTCTTAGTGATAACTACTCATTTCAATCCCCAAGATTCAACCTTCATCTACAATATCATTAAATCTTCATAAATAGATATTATTATAAAACAAAAAATTTAAATAATATAAATATAAATTAATAAATAAGACCAATGCATCACTACAATAAAATAAATAAGACAAGTGCAAGACCGAAGATAAATAAATAAACATAAGGCAGGACCAACACGTAATTGAAGATAATTAAAATAGGACCAGTACAAGACTGAAGATAAATAAACATAAAGTAGGATCAATACATAACTGAAGATAATTAAAATAGGATTAGTGCAGGACTGGAGATAAATAAATAAAGATAAGACAAGACTAACACGTAACTAGAGATAATTAAAATAAGATCAGTGCAGGACTGAAGATAAATAAACAAAGATAAGACAGAACTAACACGTAATTGAAGATAATTAAAATAAGACCAGTGCAGGACTGAAGATAAATAAATAAAGATAAAACAGGACTAACACATAATGGACTGGAGATAAATAAATAAATATAATGAGGTTAGAGACACCTCACTCCACAACTATAATTAAAATAAAATAGATAAAATTATAATATTTTCCTCTCTTACCTCATTATTATAGATTATACACCAAAATTTGTTCCAAAATTGTTTCTCATCTCTTCTCTCTTTTCTCCCTCTCTCTTTTCCTTCTCTCCCTTTCTCTTTTTTTTTCACCACCTCCCACTCCTTTTTATAGTAACATTTTTTACTTTTTTTTTCTCATTAATATTTCTTATCCTTTTATTAAATTAATATTAATTTTAGTCTTTAGTCAATTAAAACTTATCTCTTATTATACGAAGAGATAAGAAATATTATCCTTATTTTATTTTTACATATTAATAATAATAATAATATATACTATAATAATAATTATTATTATAAATTCATATTATATCTATATATTTTAATTGTAATAGTATATAATAATAATAATAATAATAATTTCATAATGTATTATAATAATAATAATTATTAATTTCATATATATATATATATATATTCTAATTAATAATAATTATTTTATTTTTATTTTAATAAATATATTTTTATTATTATTATTATTATTTTATAATAGTTTAACAATAATATATATATATATATATATTATTTTTATTTATTTATTTATTTATTTACATAAATGAGTCTTTTTTAAATTATTTAAATGACCTAAAATATTATTTAATACATTATATTTGAATAAAATTTTACACAAATTAATTTTCAGATGTTACAACATGTGACTCTCGAGGAACTTGCATGTTAACTTTATTGTGAAAAGATAAATTTTGACTAGTTTAGAAGTATTGTTGTATGCTCAATGTCGCCACCATTAGAAGAGGTGGTCAAAGCGACGCGATGGTTTTGATTGACTCGCATTTTGTTAAAGAAGTGGTTTGATGCCTTTAGATTGTTCGATAACCGAGCTGGACCTAAATGCGAGGTTTTCGAAAAGGTTCGAGGAGTTACCATCAGTGTTTTAACCTTAAAAACTGGAAAAGGTGAAGAAAAGAAGAAGGCAATGGTTTTAGAAAAAACTAACTTTGGCCATTACAACCAGAGTCGGGTAAGGGATTTAGTTACGTGTGGGGAAGGTGTTAGCACCCCACAACGTCCCTTTAGGGTTCCCTATGATGGACTAGTTTAAAAAATAAATACTTAAAGAAATTATACTTTTACCCTATTATTCTATCTACTTGTAGAATTTAAATGTCTATATGGCCTTGTTATCTAATGCACACAAAGAAAGCGATAAAGAAAGCAGTAAAAGAGAGAGAATAGGGAAAGAACCTCCGAAGCAAACTTTATATTAACCCTTCGAAACTTGAGGACGCTTTTTGGCAGTCCTCGCACTCTACAGGCACGCTCCTCCTGCAAAAGAAAAGAAAATCACTCCGAGGGCAAGATGTCTCAATAGGAGACTTGCTTAACCGATTTCTACTTTAAACGGAAATCAGAAAGCTCACTCGAACTCCATAATAATGCTCATAGTCACTCAAAAGTGCCAAAAGGCTTCCTAGAGAGTGGTAGGAGTGAAAATGTTGTGAAATTTCGAGGAATGGGGGCTCCTATTTATAGGGAACTGCACCAGAAAAAAGTGGATGACCGTCTGGACATAGTGGATGGCCGTCCATAGCCTTAAAGTTGGCATGGGCGACCGTCTGACTGTCCTGGACGGCCATCTGCTGTCTCCGGCAGATTTTTCGATTTTTATTGTTTCTAAAAACTCTTCCTATCTTAAATGAAACCTAGAAAAAGCTATTAGGGACTTAATAAAGTTTTGACCATCTTCGAAACGGACGATCTCTGGCTTCGGGCAAGATTTGGGGTTTATACTCAATTTTTTAATTGGGATTTTCTGTGAGTGAGATATCTTCTTAAAAATTTAGGAGTTATTTGACTTAGAGATATTATGTTTGAAGTAAGGTAAGTTAATTATTCTTCAATATCTACAGTAGTCTAAGCCAGAAGATCTGGACTATGAATTTGACTTGGTCACATTATTTGAGTTTTAGGAAATTGAATTACGTGATTTTGTATGTGTTGATTTGTAATGATGGTATTAAATGTATAATTGATTTGTATGATATTAAAAATAATAGTCTTTTATATGAATGTATTATTCTTAAATTAAATTTAGTAAATTGATTTATAATTTAGAGGATAATGTATAGATTTAATTTGATTTGAAACATTAGAAATATGGGATTAGGCAAATTATACAGTATGATACTATCACAAATTCGTCCAATGAATCTAACTTTACTTAGCAGATTTAAGGCAGTGTTAAAAACGCGTGAATTTCGCTCAACTCTTTTAGATTCGTCCAACGAATTTTGGATAGTATTTAATGTTCTATTTTATCAAAATTTCATTCAATACTTTCAAATTCGATCAGTGAATTTTGAACGATAATCTGAGGTTTCATTCAATCAAAATTTCGATTTATATTTTTAGATTCGCCCAAAAATTTTTTGATAATAGTAAAAATTTCATTTTATTAAAATTTCACTCAACATATTTAAATTTCATTCAACAGTTTTAAATTCACTCCATTATTTAAAAAAAAATCATAAAAAATAGCATTGAATTCCAAATACTTACTTTTATTATTATTTTATGAAATAGACCCGCACTATATTTTAATCAGGATGAATAGAATTCAACTGGTATTTTTAATAATATAATCAGTATATAATAAATTTACTAAAAATATTATTTTTTATAAAAAAAACAAAAAATAAATAATAATAAATATTATTCTTATAACTATCATATATTATAATAAATATTATAAACATAAAATATAATAGAGATAAAAAAGTTTAATATACATAAAAATATATTACAAAATATTGTTTATAGTTAACATGATTCATATGAGATAATGGTAGAAAAAAATTTAAAGATATTATATCGTTTAAAAATATTTTGAAAAATTATCTTTTTAAAAAGTGCAAAGATTTTAATCTTAATTTTTTTCTTCTTTTATCAAATCAGTTGAATCCAGAACCTGTTCAACCTAGAACCTGGTTGACTTCATATTTTATATATATATATATATATATATATATATATATATATATATATATATTATAGTTTTTAATTACATAATAAATATAAAAATGATTATAAAAGTCAAATAAATAATTTAATACATATTTTTTATTAATTTAAACTTGTATATTTTTAGAAAAAAATTATAATTATATGTCAAATGATATATTATTAAAAAAATATTTTTTTCATAAAAAATTAGTTAATAACTATATTAATAATTTTGTAATTGAGTAAATATTTAATTTGAATAAATTTATTTTTTACCTTTTAAATGAACACCTTCCTATTTTGTCTTATTTTTTCCACAATTTCTTTTCTTATTACTCAACGAAACATTAAGTAGAAATAATTATTTATATATTTATTTATGATATATAATTTGAATTTGAATGAGGAGTGAAACTTACCTTCCAAACAGTATCCTGTGGCTATAAATTGATATCCAATTCACTTAAAACATTACAACCAAATAATATTAGAGACTTGGAGAGTAAAGTGATGGAGAAAAATAGGATGAAAATGAGGAGTGTTGCAATTTTGATTATGACTATTTTGAGTTTTGGCCAAATTGCAAGAAGTGAGTCACCCATTAGTTGTAGTAGAAAATGTGCTTTAGATTGTTTAGATGTACCCTTTGCATATTCTGCATGCTTTGATGGTTGTACCGCAAAATGCCCCAAGACGCCTGTGGCACTGGATGTCTACAATTGCGTTAGCAGGTGTGGCGTTAACAAGTCCCTCACCGTCAATATTGGTATTTATTCTTTAACTGCTATAATATTTATTTAATTTTTTAATTAAATTGATTAATTTTTTTATATTTTTTTATTGATTTTATGTACAGATGTTCGTGGTGTTGTGACTGATGTTGAGGATTCTTGTTTACAAAAATGTTCAAATTTATAAAAATTGTAATTTTTTTTATAAAAGTTGTAATTTGTGTAAGAAGGTTGAACAACAAGATTTGACATAATCTTGTAATAAAATTATAAAAAAAATCATTTTTATTTATATTTTCATTTAGTTAAGTTAATATGCTTAGTTTTTTATTAGCTATCGCAATAATTTATGGAAAATAAACATTTACTTTCAAATATTCTGATTAAAAAAAACATTTTCAATAATAGTTTCAGATAAGAACTTACTAGTTGATGAATATTTAACATCAATAATGCAATAATAATAATAATAATAATTCTTAAGCAAAAGTTTATGGAAAATAAAGACCCATAATTTGAAGCTTTTCCATTTTTTATACAAATTTGGATCGGGAATTTTGAAAATATAATTTATAGTAGGAAGAATTTGCAAATACATTGGTTAAATAAATTTGTTTGATGAAAATAAATTTTAAAAATCTCTAACAATAATTGATTACTTAAAATTTTATTAATTTTACATAGAAAATAAAAATTTTAAAACTCTTATAGTTTTTTCCATCAAATCTATGTATATTTTTTTCTTCTCAATGTATTACCAACCCAGTTGTCATCTAAGTTTTTCTATTGATTTCAAACAATTTTTTTTTTAAACTAGAGCGTTTTCTTTAACCAATGAATATTAAAATATAGATTAAGATTATTTCTTGACCAATATTAATTAAGTTTTTTTCAACCAATATTAATTAGACCATTTTTATGCACATTAAGATTTTTTTATGAACACCCATACTATTTTTCTACTGATTTGATCAAGACTTTTTAATTGGCATTTATAGGGGTTATTTACTAGTTGAAGTTGTTGGATTCTTTTTTTTTTTTTCAAGGACAAAATTATTTTTCGATTTTGATTTATCAAGTTTTTTTAACCCATACCTATTAAGTAATTTGTAACACTTCAAAATTTATTTATTATAATATTTTTTATAATTTAAATACTTTTATACTCAAAACTTTATTTATTAAAACAAAAATTATTATCATTATAAAAAAATAATTAATAAATATTAAAAATAAATACATAAATAAATATATTTTTTTTAAATTGAAGATTAAAAAAATATTATTATTTATTTTAGTATATTTAATAATTTTAATAAATAAAAATTAATAATTTAAATAATAATAATAATAAAATTAATTAAGAAAAGGTAATAAACTTATTTATTTGAGAGATAAACATGTATTTAATATAAAAAATAAAAAAAAGTAAGTAAAATTTTACAATAAACCTATGTGAAGGAGGTAAGACATTTCTATCGAAGAATAAAAAAAAAATAGAAAGAAAGAGAAAAAAATTTATAAACAACACAATTGAATCTTGAATCTTGATGTATTATCTATAGTTATTAAATTAAGAGAACAAACATTTATTATTATATTTATTTTATTTGTAATTATAATTATTAGGTGAGATGTATCAAATTTTATTTTATTTATTTTTTAATATTTATTTATTTTTATATTAATCTTATTTTATATGTATTTATTTATTTTTAATTATATTGATTTTGTTTTATATTGATTTTATTTTTATATCTATTTATCTTATTTTATATTTTTATTTATTTATTTATCTCTAATTATGTATTAATTCTATTTTATATTCATTTATTTTTAATTATAAATTCTATTTTTTATTTATTTATTTATCTTAAATTATATGTTTATTTTATTTTTAGTTATACATTACTCTAATTTTATATTTAATTAATTATTTGTCGAATCAAAATATCATTAGAACAAATTTTAAGAAAATTTTAAATAATTATTATATTTTTCAGATGTTATAATTTTTGAAATTAAAATATGAAAAAAAATACTTACTTTTAATTTCAATTGTTTAAGACAAATATAAAATCATTTTTAAGAAAAAAATAAAGGATAAAATAAATTATAGTTTACCAAATTAAAATTTCACTAGTACTTAACTTCTCATATTTTAGATCTTAAGATGATTAAAAGAAAATCATACTTCTAACATCGATAAGGATATTACTATAAAATTATATTTAAATATGATAGTTAATTATTTTTATAATATAAAACGTTTAGTGAAATATAAGTTGTGTATATTAATTTATATTTAATTTCTCTTAGTTTTATAAGACCCCAAAAAAAAATTACACCTTATTTTTTTAATTTCTCTTAGTTTTATAAATCCTTACCAAAAAAAAAATACATCTTTAGAAAGTTTTGGGAAAAATTTTCGAGTGTATTTGAACTCATTTCTAAAACTAAAATTGTTAATACTAATTTACAAATATTTTTAATCTAAAATGAGTAAATTTTGGTTCTTAATTTTTTTTTATTCATTCAAAATTAATCATTCTGATTCTTATCATTATTCAAAATTCGTTAACTAGTTACTTAAATGATGGTCAAGCGATATTTTAGTTGACATTCGCTAATGTTTATAATATAATATTAATATATGACACTTTCTTTTTCAAAATTAATAAATAAATGTGAGTTTATTTATCTTAAAATAACATTAAAAAAATCGAAATTTTAAAGGATGACAATATATTTTTACAAGAATCTACATCAAAATTCTCTCATTTTGCAAACATCAAAACAACAATTTCAGAATTTTTGTAGAAAATAAAATCAAAATTTATAATTTTATAGACTCTAAAGACATGTTTAATAATGTTAAACATTAAATATTAACTTCCAATTAATTCAATACAAATATTAAATATAATGTATTTGATATCCATTAACTATCTATTTAATAATGCTACATAAATTATTAATATAATGAAAAATATATAAAAAAAATCTTAAATGGTACTATAATTTTATTAAACATTAATAACTTTTTTTTAAAAATTTTTTTAGACAAACTCCTTTGTAAATATTTTTAGAAGAAAAAATATATTATTTTCACAACATATAGAAAAGATGTTTTATAATTTAGCTTCTTTGCAAACAAAATTATATAAACTCTTGTATGTAACTCATTTAGAAACTAAATTTTAATATTATCATACTTTATGTACGTAATTAAATGATAATTACACACAAATTGATATCTTATTTTCTATTAGTTATAGTTATTGCTCGATAACTGAACCTATTATTTAATTCTATTTAACTTGTCCAGAAAAAGAATTCCTCGTGAAGGGACACCCCACACATCACAACACAAACATTGCTTTCTTTTCCATCACCATATTAGGGTTTGAAACTTGCACTTTCCCTTTCTTCCCTCTCACCTTCCACTTCTCATTTGCTTTCAATTCACGCCTTTTTATCTTGGCTTTCTTTCTCTATTTCGCCTAATTTCACCATATCCGTGTGAGGCGGTACGGGTACTTTTCTTTCTCCACGTTTCTCTCTTCAATGTGCTCTGCACCTGGCATGCGTTTTGGCGGTGATTTATTTTTGTGAATTAGGAACTTTTCCTTCTTTGGGACTGCTGTGTCGTGTTTGGGTTCGCAGCTCGAATTTAATGGAATTGGAGTGCTCGATTTGGGGTATTTTGTTTTGAAAATGAAAATAATGAACGATGCAGTGTGTGCTGTGTGCTCTGTTTTCGGTTTTTTGGTTGTTTGGGTGGAATATATGGTTTTGTTTTTATTCTGTGGGAAATAGAAAGAAACATGGGAACTACATCTTGGCTCCCATCTTGGTTTACGACGTGTTGGAAGTAATGATTTAGGAGCAAAATTTAACAGGAGGAAGAGGAAGAAATGAAGTTGTAGTCTTGGTTGAGGAATTTATTATTTCTTTATAAAGAGGGATTGTAATTTCCTTGTAGGTTTATAGCTTGATTGTTGATTAGCATGTATTTTGGCTTGTGTTTATATCGCTTATGTTTTTGTTACGTGCATTTAGTTGTTCATTTACTATAGTTGATCCATTTTTTTTCACTGAGTGGATTGTTGCTCTTTTGAATTGAATCTAAAATCTCCTTCTGTAGTGACGGTGGCATTGGTGCCATACAGGTTTCAATTTGTGTGTTTGTGTTTTATTGCTTGTGTCAATGCTGGTACTTATGGCTTATGTCTTTACTCCTTGGTACTTGTGGAGATAAGTACTTAATGAGATTATTATTTGCATATATCAGTTTTGATTATTGATGATAATTCGAATCTTAGTTTCATTGCTAATTTTAAGCGTACCATTACCATTAAGAACATTTTTTTTTAATAAATGTGGGATGTTCAAAAGTGAGTAGGAAGACACATCCCAACTTAGTTGGGTTGCATTACATCAAATTGTATAAGTTGATACACCTCGAGTCACCTATTGTTTGCATTACATCACATTGTATAATAAACGATGTTAGAGAGTTTTTAGCTTTTACCAACTTGACTGAGTAGGAATGATATCTATTTCTTTAGATTAAAATAATTGAGTGTTACCGGTAAACTTTCTTAAACATTCTCAAACATTGGACACTTACAAGTTTGTTATCTTTCTTTTATTTTATCGTGTAATGAGTTGTTTGACATTTCTATGTCTATACTTTTGGTCTATGGTTTGAGAAGTTATATGGCAATAGTATTTTGCATGATCTATGGATGATTAAAAACTGTAGTGGTCAACCATTCATTGACTTGGCTTCTAAAATAGGCCATTGATAATTTATTTTGTTAAATTATTTTTATCATTAATACATGAATATCATCAATTTCTTTACACTTTTGGGAGTTGTAGTTACCTGAGGTGGGGCAGGTTGGTCTGTGACTAGGCATTTGACATTTATGTTAATTGAGTTCTAAAGAATTTCGCAAAGATGCTGCATATGGACACATTCATAATAATACACTTTACAGCTTGGGTAGTTCTCATTCCTAAAGTTTGAGAGTTTTTCTGATCATGTTTGGCATATGAGTGACCTTGCTTGTGTCTTATTTCTTCATATCATTGGTTTTGAATGAAATGAGTATATGGGAGAAATTTGCGGGTTAGGTCCTTGTTACATAGTTGAATATGCAATTCATGCTAGGAAGGATACAGTTAGTCGGTCTGGAAGTTTATGCTAATTACGAATACAATCTGCTTTGACTTTGTTCTTAGAGTTAAAGACTGAAGAAAACAATGGCTCAGTTTACCACTAGGATTGCAATTACTGACCTACTGAATTTGATCTATTATCCATAAAACACCGATTGTCCATCTTGACCTTGTTCAAACGCTCTAGCATTCTCCCCTGCACACATGCCTTCTGACATATATGCGAGGACAAATGATTCCTTTTGTCGTTTGAGTTGGTATAATTTTGGTTGTAGATTTGATGTGTTTATGGTTGTAGAGTGCTTGTTTGCGAATGTTGCTTCAGATTAATCAATAAAGTTGCATCGAGTATATGCATTAAAGACCAAGGTACTCTTTCTTCAGGTATATTGGAATTTCACTTGGGTTCTAATTGATGCATTTACACCGTTAGCTGTTGGGCTCCAATTTCAAGATGAGCGATTCTCACTCCGAAAATCATGCAAGTGATTTATTCTTTGTAATTTCATCAATTAGTTATCTGTTATAGCCTAGTCGGTATGAAAGATAGAATTATCTACCTGCAGGATGAAGCAACTGTGGTGGGATTTGAAGTTCCAAAATCACCTGATTCCAGTTACAACAATGTCTACCCAGGAAATGAAGATGAGGCAAGGGATCCGCCTATGGTGCCTTCACATTTGCAACACACTTTGCTCAATTATCCTGCTAGTAGAGACACTGCAGGAACTGTTCCATTGCCTCAGAATGTGATTCTAAATCATCTTTACATCGAGAATAGAGAGTCCCCAAGGTCTGTGGTGGCGTTGGGATTCACTCATCGTTTCCGCTCTAAGTATGTTACAGTGGTGCTTTACAAACCAGTCCAAAGAAGGGGAAGTACAGGCATTTAATGTGCATATTCAAAACCTTAATCACCGACGACGGTTTGTAATGATTTATTGTAGACTCAATATTCCAATTACTGGAAATGATATTTTAATGAACTTAAGTAGATTATTCTTAGTAACTTCACTTTATATTTATTTGTAAATTCGATTGTAAATTTATTTGGGTGGTGTGGTTCAGTGGATTGGACAATATGATAATATGGGGGATCTGAAATAATTCACCAACATAAATTTTTAAAAATTTGTTAAGTTATAAGATATTTTTTGAAAAATATTGCATTATATATTTTTTTAATCTAATAAGTTTTTTATTTTACTCGAAGTCGTTTTTAAAGTGTTTATAATTAGTGCTAACATATAGTCTGGTTCTTGGCTATAGGATATTCTGAGTTTTAAAAAAAAAAAAAAAAAAAAGAAGTTAACATGATTAATGAACCTATAGATTAGCAGTGAAACAGCGAAAGATAAATAACAAATCACTTCTTTCGATCCTGAGTAAATACAGTTTTTGTCATACATAAATAAAACGATGCAATAGTGTCATGTTACTATAAATGTGATTTTGTGTTAGTATTTAAATAAAATTGTTATAGTTAAACTAATTGGTTACCAGATGTACGGAAACAAAAATTAGAGAGAGAAAAATCATGAAAAGCATAGTAGTAGGACATAAAATACATTTAATCATGATAAAGTTTTAGAGATTTTTGGATACAATAACTTGTTATGCTTACGTAATTATTTTATCAAAATTTGATAGAAGGGTCCATATCATGAGTTTCTCTTAATAATTTATTGTTTCATTCAGGCCTTAGAAAAGGGTGAAAGTACACAAGAGTATCAGACATAAACATTCTTGTCGGTCCTTGTATTAAGGTTGATAAACACAACTTCTTATAAAAATGAAATGGTCTTCCACAGTGAGTTTACAAGTTCCTATATATATACTTTTAATATTTATAAGTGATTCTTATTTTTAATTTGGTTTTATTTCTAATGAAAATTTCGGTTTAGTCGTTACAGGAATGACATCATTATTTTATTTATTATTGAATAGCTATATTAATAGTTTTTACTAGATTAACGTGTAATAAATTAAGAATAAATATATATAAACATAAAAATAAAAGTGTTTTTTATTCTTTAAAAATTTAAATAAAATATTATTTTGATTGTTAATATTATTTATAATATATATAGTTATATTTTATTTAAATTAATTATTAAGTGATTTTTATTTTATGTTTCAATTTTTAAAATATTGTTTAATATAAAAATATATTAAATTATTATTTTGAATAAAAAATTAAGAATAAGATATTATTATTATTATTTAATACTTTAGTATATTTTTATTTTATATATAGTATATGAATTATTCAAATTCCTTCATATATTATATACTTTACTTTTTAAAAAAATATATCTTATTTACTTTTAATTGTGTTTAGTGAATGCGAAAGGAGGCTTTCATTTTATTTATCTTAATTTTTTAAATATGATTTATATATATCGTTAATTCACTTAATACAAAATTTGTTTTAAATTAAAATCTTATATAAGATTACATTCTTAATTATATTTTTTTTATCTTGGATGGAATAATAAAATTACTTAATTTTATAAATTGTTTTGAGATAATTTTATAAATGGTTCCGAAATGTAATATAATTTTAAAATTTCTCATTCCATACTTTAGCCGACATACATGTACATGTGTATAATCACTTGTTTGTATATAATTAAAATGTAATGACATAAGCACAGGTATTTAAAAAGTAGTACGGAAAAGGTCTAAGGTTATTACATTTGGTGTAGGAAAGGAATGAATTAAAAGTGGGTATAGTAATATTATTATTATGGATAGTGGCGAGTGTTGTGAATAATTAATTATTGAAAGAACCCTAGGTGCTCCTCAAAGGCTGGGTTATGTACGGACAGTACTGTTTCTGTCGCTACAATTCCTCCAACTTTATAAATAACAATGCAAACGCCAGGGGAGACAAACACTACGTTTTTATTTAAACCCATTTTCATATAAAAACAAACGCATACTACGAGTTTTATAACCTCTATGATTTTTTTTTTTTTTATCAACCAACATAAAAAATTACGTTATTGAATGGGAGCTTTTGCGTTAGGAAGAGTTTGTGTGAGGATTCTGTAAACTTATTATAGCTATATAAGTAGTGACGGGAATTAAAATTGATGAAAGGATAAAATTATAAATATATATTTAAATATATTAAATAATTATTAAGTTTGAAATGGAGAAAATCATATTATATGAGAGTTACAAAATTGAGGAGGAACTAAAAAGATAAAATTGTAAATATACAAGTAAATATATTAAATATTTATTATATTTGGAGGTCCAAAATTATAAATTATATAGGAGTTACAAAACTTTAAGAATCTGTCATGTCACGACTCCTAAAAAGATCCGACGCTAGATATAAGGTTATCTTTCATTATTTATTTATTTTTATAATTATTTGATCAATTAATTATCAACAATTTTTTTTTCTAAAATAATTTATAATTTATCATGTTAGTTAACATTCTTCCAAATACAAATTGATTCAAGCAACTAAATGTTTTTTCATTGAATTTTTATTTTCTTTTTTAATGTGGTTTGATTTATTTAATGGCTTATTAATAACTTCGAAGTTGGTGATTTATTTGGAAAACTACATTGAGGTAGTTTTTAACATATATTTATTATCGAAACACAATTATATGAGATTAATAGTGTTTGAGTTTAGTTTTTGAGGTAATTTTTTTTCCTTGAAAACAAATATGATTTTTTTTTACCGACATAAAAATATTGAGGTGAATTGTGACCGTTGTTGAAAGAGTGAAGAAAATCTTATTCATCTTTTGCTTTGGGCCCAAATTATGTCTCAAACACGAAAGTTGTTACTTTTGCTCTGCACTTGTCAACTATCTGGATTACGTCACTGAAACGTATTTAAGTTCTGTGTTTTGAATATGAATTAACAAATTTGGTCAACTATTCCTACTCTTGGAAGCAGAAGTGCAAATAGTGAACATGTACCAGTGTTATGTCACAGTAAAAAAAAAAAAATCATCTTTTTCATATTAGTTTATTTCCGCTTCTAACAAATTGCACGAAGTTTTCTATAATATTATTTAGTTGTTGAGTTTTACTTTTTTAAAACAAGGAGTTTATTTATAAAAATAATAAGTTATGTAAGAGTGTGTCACCACCGATCTATATATAGTTATTTAAATTAATTACTTGTTCTAATTTTATAGATTTTATCATTTATATATTCTGCATAAAAATTCACTCTAATTAATTCCAAAGTTGTTATAATGACATATGTTAATACTATTTTATTTTCTTAATTTTTCCCTTTAAAATATATGTTTAAGGAGTTACCTAAATAAATATTGTGTAAGCAAGGTCATATAATATATCCTGATAATATATTTGGCTAAAAAATATTGTTTAAATTAAAACTATTTTTATAAACAAAAATCCCAAATATTAAAGAAAGACCATATAATTAAGGATAAGCTTAAATTAGTTAACTTTATTTGTATTATTTACTTACGCGGCTTTTTAATCTCAGTTATTAATTTTTTAATTAGTGTCCTTTTTACTTCTTTTGCAGTGAATCTTTAATATTAATAAGCTTGGCATAGAAAATTATAAAAAGAAATATCTTTATTCTTAATAATAAAGAGGGTAAATAAGAAAATAATTTCTTTTACTATGTATTGTTTTTTAAATGAAAAATAATTTAATATTTATTATTTACTCCCTTTTTTTTTCCTTTTTTAGTCTGTTTTTTTTTCTGCGTCACGCTGTCATCATTTACCGTTAAAGACTAATGTGAAGATTACTTAACTAAGTTTTATTGTTTAAAAAGAAAATAAAATATTGTTATCAAATTATACTTTTGTCAACATATTTAAGAAATTCAGTTAAATTAATGATATTTTCATAATCATTTTTTTTATATCTAATAACATGCAATATAATAATTTTTTATATTATATTTTTATAAAAAAGTTATAGAGTGATTGTATATAAAATATGGATTTTCAATATATTATTCTCTTTATCCACTAATTATGTCATCCTTCAGTATTTGATCAAACTGCTTATATTTTCTCTTTGATGAATCAAACTATAAACATATTCGAAATCTAGATTATCTAATATTATATAATTAGTGGTTAGTTACAATACCTGTGAACGTGAATTTGTGGAAAAAAAAAAAGTTTGTCACATTAATGATGATTTGTTACCAGAAAAAGTAATATCTGATGGATCAATTTACATATAACTTTTTAAAATGAATTATATTTTTCATTTTTCTAATTTTTGGATAAAATAAAATAAAAGATAATTAGATTAAAAATTTGTAGTAATATTTTGATTTTGTTGATTTATTGAAATCAAGGCCGTTATTATTTTGATTTTAGGAGTTGTTATTTTGTTATTCTAGTAAGATAATATTAGGGTTTTAGGAAACCTATATATACACAAACGTAATACGAATTTTGGTACGACAGAGAATGAATAAAATTCAGTTTTTCAAAATTTTTTATTATCAAATTGAATTAGGGTTTGTGTTTGAGTGTGAGCTTGAATACATGGATGATTGGTTTGACGAAAAACTAGGAAGCACCGAAGAACTATCATCAGCTACAAATAAGGCGTTGAAGGAGAAACATTCGAAGGACTTTTCGGTGGAGTTGGAGTGGGTAAAACAATACTAATTATGGAATTGACTAATAACATTGCCAAAACTCATGGAGGTGTATCTCGTATTTGGCGGAGTAGGTGAGCGTACTCGTGAGGAAATTATATTTATATGAAGGGACAATGCAGCTCTATACACATTGTATCGAGCCATAGATGATTCCGACTTTGAGAAGATAGCAAAAGCAAAAACTTCAAAAGAAGCATGAATGACGTTGGAGATGGCTCATAGGGGCGACGACCAGTGGCGGATCTTCTTGGGAGCTGAGGGGGGCCGTGGCTCCCCCAAAGTTTTATAACTCCCATGTAATTTATGATTTTGGCCCCCCAAACTTGATGAACATTTAATATATTTACTTGTATATTTACAATTTTATCCTCTCAGCCCCTCCTCAGTTTTATAACTCTCATATAATTTATGATTTTGTCCCCCTCAAACTTAATGATCATTTAATATATTCAAGTATATATTTACAATTTTATCCTTTCATTTTCTTACTTAATTTTATATTTATTTATTATTTATTAATAATATATTATTTGGCCCCTCCAAAATCAATGCTCAAGATCCGCCACTCGGCGACGATCAAATTAAATAAATTCGACTACAAACACTATATGGTGAGTTTGAAAGCATAAGAATGAAGGAGTCAAAAGAAGTCTCTGAGTACATCATACGTGTTCAAATATGATGAATCAACTTAATCAGGATGGAAATGTGATTTCTGAAACCCGTGTTACATAGAAAATCTTGATGTCATTAATAGGTAACTTTGAGAACAAAGTATATGTGATAGAAGAATCGAATAACCTGTCCGAGCTCATAATCCAGGAGCTTGCTGGTTCTCTTGGAGCCCATGGGTAACGGAGGAAGGAAAAGAAGGAGAAGACAAGTGCTCTAAAGCGAGACAACTGTATAAGAGGAGAAAACTCTCTATTCTTAGAACAGTAGAGGAAGAAGATGATCAACAAAATTAGCAAGGTAGAGGACGTGGTCGAAGAGAAGGTTGATTAACGAATCACTCAAATATTGAGTATTTTAATTGTGATAAATATGACCATTGTGCAAAAAATTGTTACTCGAACAAGTACTTTAATTGTGAAAAGGTGGGACATTTTGCCAAAAAATGCCAAAAGATGGAAGAATCGAGCTATCAAAGAAGAGCATGGTACTCATACTATCGATCTTGGAGAATGAGGGAATATTTTGCTATGAGTGTCTACTCAATAAGTTAGCGATGACCCATTTTTTGAGGATTGTTAAGTACTAGGCAAACAAACAACTCAGACTAATTCATACCGATATGTGTAAATCGATTACTCCTAAATCATTCAGTGATAAGAAATATTTTATGATATTTATTAATGAATTCTTTAGAAAGATGTGGGTGTAAATATTGAGAGAGAAATCCGAAGTGTTTGAGGTGTTCAAGAAGTTCAAGGTGATGGTTGAAAACATGATTGGGAGGCATATCAGGTCAATCTGATCTTACAGAGGTGGAGAATTTACATTGACAGTTCTGATAAGATATAGTGAAGATGAAGGAATAGGAGGTATCTAACAACCTCATACTCACTACAACAAAATAGTGTGGCTAAGGGAAGAACCAAACTATTCTTGACATGGTTTGATTGATGTTGAAGGCAAAAATATGTCAAAGGAATTCTAGGAAGAAGTAGTGCAGTATGTTATCTATGTGCAGAATAGGTGTCCACATACAAAGTTGGATGATGTAACACCATAAAAGACATGGAGTGGTAAAAAACCAATTGTGTCTCATCTCAGAGTGTTCAAAATTATTGCTTATAGAGTAGTATCTTCTCAACAATGAATGAAACTTGAAGACAGAAGTAAGAAGTATGTGTTTATTGGTTATACTGAAAAATCAAAAGCCTATAAGCTGTTTGATCCGATCAGTAAGAAGGTGGTCATAAATCGAGATGTTCGTTTTGATGAAGCAAGTGAGTGGAACTGGGGAAAATTAGAGGAAGACAAAGAATGCCAAGTTGTTGTACCATCAACTCTTGTTAACTCAGAAGGCGAGGAGGAGGACGAACCACAACCCAAAATACAGAGTTTACGAGACTTGTATGATTCAACTGGTGAGGTTCATGTTGTTTGTCTTTTGGAAGGTTTTTAGGACATCACACTTGAGGAGGTAGTTCATGATGAGAAGTGGCAGGTTGCTATGAATGATAATATTCAAACTATAGATCAAAATGACACTTGGGCGATGACCTACTCTAAGGAGAACAGATTTATATAGTGTCCTTATGAACATGCTCTGTATGTGAAGAATAATGGAGGTAATTAATGACGGATCTTGATCATTGATCTTGAGGAAACCAAATAATATATTATCAATAAATAATAAATGAATATGAAAAGATAAAAGAATATGAAAGGGTGAGAGGTCAAATTTGTAAATATACAAATATGTATATTTAATAATCATTAAGTTTGAGGAGACCAACATCTAATGTAAGTTACAAAATTTTAGAAATAATTATTAAATTTAGGGATTCAAAATCATAAATGTTAATATAAGTTACAAAACTTTGGGAGGGGGTCATGACCTCCCTCATTTCCCAAGAAGATTCACCACTGGAGGTAATGTGATATTTGTAGCACCATATGTTGATGATATCATTTTTTATGAGAAATAATCCTGGAAAGATTCAAGAGTTCAAAATCACAATAATGACTAAATTTGAGACGAACGATCTTGGCATGGTGAGTTTTTTTCTTGGCTTGGAAGTAAGACAGGAGGAGTCAGAAATATTTGTGTCCCAAGAGGTATATGCAAAGCAGATTCTAAACAAGTTCAAGATGGTCAAGTGTAAAACAATCTCAACCCCCATGAAACCAAGAACAAAGCTCTCAAAATTCGAAAGAGGAGAGCAAGTTGATTTAAACAGATATCAAAGCTTAGTAGGAAGTCTTTGTTACCTTACAAGTACAAGACCCGACTTGTTGCTAAGTGTTGAGATTGTTAATCGATTCATGAAAAATCCGAGCTACTCTCACTGGAAGGCACTGAAGTGAATATTAATGTATATCTAAGGTACAATTTCACTCATACTGTTGTATTCAAGGTCAAACAATTATCGACTCATTGAGTACTTGGACAGTGATTGGTGTGAAGATGTGCATGATAAGAAAAGTACATCAAGGTATGTATTTTTCATGAGAAACATGACATTACTTAGTTTTCGAAGAAACAACCTATTGTGACATTGTCAACCTTTGAAGCCAAATATGTAACAACATCATGGAGTGTGTGTCATGTGGTGTAACTTAGAAATTTGCTAAGCTCGGTGGAGGAGAGACAACTCAATGCAACTGTGATTTGAGTTGATAACAAATTAGTTGTTGAACTAGCGAATTATCTAATCAACCATGAGAGTGTTGAGTAATTCAAGTGTGATTCTAAGTCCCACATTGAGTAAGAATGAGAAAGTTGAGCAACATATAAGAAAATAAGACCCATAACTTAATGTCTTAAAATTTTGTATTAAGAGTAATGTCAATCTCTTATGTGAGTTTGACTCATGTTTCATTGATGTTGTTTCTTCCCAGTAAATCTCTCTTAAAAGACCCCACAGAAAAATAAACACATTGATATTTATTTTTATTTAATCTGAGAACACATGAAAGAAGGAAATGTAGAGCTCGTGGATGTGACAAATCGAGATAAGTTGTTGATATTTTCACAAAGTTATTTCCTATTATGTTGTTTGAGAATGGTAAGAAATTGATTGGGATGAAAAATGGAAAGAGTTCGGGTACTTGACAAGTCGACTTTGGGATCTCGAGAAGTTGTAAGTCTTGAGAAATCTGGAGGTCAACGCGAGGTCGAGAGATGGGTTATACCGATCCCAATTTTTTTTGCCTATGAGATTTAATTTTATAGAAGAGTTTTATTGAAGAAAATTAAATAAAAGTAATTAGATAAAAAATTTGTTGGAATATTTTGATTTTGTTGATATTACTACTAATATGTAGATGTTAGTCTAGTAAGAAAATAATAAGTAGATGTTATTCTAGTAAGAAAATAATAAGGTTTTAGAAAATCTCTATATATATCACAAATGTAATTCGAATTTTGGTATCATCAAATCAATAAAATACAGTTTTCGAAATTCTTTGTCATGTATCCTGGTGAAAACATTTTATAAGAGACTGGAGATTAGGTTCAATTAGTTTGCGGTTGTGTGTATTCACTTCTTTGCTTCAATTAGGCGCCCAAGAATTGAAATCCTCATCATTTCCGTGGATAAATCTGGTTGGTATATCTAAATTTAGCAACTATATTTGTTGGATGCTTAAGGCCAATGAACACAGAATATGCAACCACACATGCCTCCTATATGAAATAACAAGTTGATACTTCTATTCTTTCTCACTTTCTTCTTTATTGTATCATATTTATCACATTTACTTCTTTTTTTTCTTCTGATTATTTCTTATTTTATGTACTGGCATCACCAAACAGTTTCTTTTGATAACAACTGTTTAACCTTACTTTCTTTTTTATTTTATTTTTTTGGAAACAATCATGTTTGTATTTAGTTATGTGTGTATTGTCTTCCAAGTCTCTAACCCCAAGTAATCATGTGCCAAGTTGCAAAAATCAAGCTCAATATGGTCAAAGTTAGAGGCATAATGCGCTGAACAATATTACTATAGAAGTGCAAGTGTTATGATTTAACAGCACATATATATGTAACTAAGCATCTGTATATCAGAGTTGATTATACGTCACATGAACCTTTGAGATATACCATGGGTTCTTTTTGGCATATGCGGCAAAATGGATGACGTGAAATACAGCTTGGTTTAATGTTTAAAGCTTTGTAGCCGTTGCGAATATCATTGGCCCTCAGTGGATTGTCAATGGATTCACTGGTATAAATACAACACCCTCCTTGTCTCCCCTTCACAACTTCACCATCACTTCTCAAATCAAGCTAAGTTTTTTTTTTTTTTTTTTGTTTCTCTCTTTGGTTTGCTATAAACTTTGGTTGTTTACTTTTCCACACCCAACACAGTGTTAAGGCCAAATGGCTGATATTGAGGGATCTCCAGTAAGCTCCATGCATGGAGTGACAGGGAGGGAAACAAACCTTCATTGCCTCAGTGGCTTCCCCTATGGTCCCAACTGACACCACAGCAAACTTTGTTTTGCCAGTTGATTCTGAGCACAAAGCCAAGGTTTTCATACTGTTTTCCTTGGCTAACCCCCACATGAGAACCTTCCACTTGTCTTGGATATCCTTCTTCACTTGCTTTGTCTCAACCTTTGCAGCAGCTCCCCTTGTCCCTATCATTCGTGACAACCTCAATCTCACCAAAAGTGACATTGGGAATGCCGGGGTTGCTTCTGTCTCTGGCAGCATCTTCTCCAGGCTCACAATGGGTGCAGTTTGTGACCTCTTGGGCCCTCGTTATGGCTGTGCCTTCCTTATCATGCTTTCCGCCCCGACTGTGTTCTGCATGTCCTTTGTGAATGATGCTGCAGGATATATAGTAGTGAGGTTCATGATTGGGTTCTCCTTGGCAACTTTTGTGTCATGTCAGTACTGGATGAGTACCATGTTTAATAGTAAGATTATAGGGCTTGTGAATGGGACTGCTGCAGGGTGGGGAAACATGGGGTGGTGGAGCCACTCAGCTCATAATAATGCCCTTGGTGTATGAGTTGATTAGAAGAGCCGGGGCTACTCCCTTCACTGCCTGGAGAATTGCCTTCTTCGTTCCAGGTTGGTTGCATGTCATCATGGGGATCTTGGTCCTAACCCTAGGCCAAGATTTACCTGATGGCAATCTTGGTACCTTGCAGAAGAAGGGTGATGTTGCCAGAGACAAATTCTCCAAGGTTAGCTTCCTTATTCCATAAATGTTTCTGGCCTCAATCAATATATTAAATTTCTTAAAGAAAAGTATTTTCAGTACTCATTTCTTAATAATTATAAAATTGTCATATTATTTTATTTTCTATTTTCAAAAATCTCTCTATATATATAAGAAATATTCTGCTTTCATTGTGAAAACAATTTGATATTTTTATTTTTAATTATGGAAATAAAAAATAAAAATTAAGTGCTTCTTACTTAGCCTACAGTTAATGACCATAAAAAATTGATGAGGCAAAAGTAGTGCTCCTTACTTCATATTTTGTTCAGGTGTTATGGTATGCTATAACAAATTACAGGATGGGTTTTTGCCCTCCTCTATGGGTACTCTATGGGAGTTGAATTAACCACTGACAACGTCATTGCCGAGTATTTCTATGACAGGTTAGTTCTGTTCATCATTGAGTTCAAGCCAAAAGTCTTCAGTGTTGGTGGAGTATTTTCCGAGGTTTAATTAATTTATCTACAACATTATTAATATCTCCCACAAAAGCAACTGGGAATACGACAACAAACCTTTTACTTCTCCACTAGTTAATTTTCTCTATGATGAACCATTTAAGGAATTTTAAAATTTATTTTTACATTGTGATTTAATAATAAACTGCCATCTATGATAAATACTTCAGTTTCTATAATAATTACTTTACAAGATTATTTCTATAACTAATTGGTTAATTTGATATAACAGATTTAACCTCAAGCTACACACTGCTGGAATCATCGCTGCTTCCTTTGGAATGGCAAATATCCTGGCTCGTCCCTTTGGTGGATACACTTCTGATCTTGCAGGCAGGTTGTTTGGTATGAGGGGCAGGCTTTGGAACCTGCGGATCCTCCAAACCTTAGGAGGTGTTTTCTGCGTATGGCTTGGTCGTGCCAACTCACTTCCCATTGCAGTTTTGGCTATGATCCTCTTCTCCATTGGCGCTCAAGCAGCCTGTGGTGCAACTTTTGGCATCATTCCTTTGGGTCTGGTTTGACCCAGTTGATCTTCTTCTCAACCTCCAGCTTTTCTACATCCAATGGTCTCTCCTTGATGGGTGTCATGATTATTTGTTGCACTCTTCCTGTGACTCTTGTTCACTTCCCTCAGTGGGGTGGCATGTTCTTCCCTCCTTCAAAATACATTAACAAGTCCACTGAACAATACTATTACGCCTCTGAATGGAATGAAGAGGAGAAGCAAAAGGACTTACACCAGAATAGTCTCAAGTTTGCCGAGAATAGTCGTTCAGAGAGGGGTAAGCGTGTGGCCTCAGCTCCTACACCACCATACACAACTCCAACCCAGATCTAGCCTCTCCACATTTATAACCCTTGGATGAAGATCAAACGAGCAAAACTTTGATTTTTTTTTAAGTTGATTGGTTGAGATAAAATATGAATCATCTTATCTTCGTGAAATGGTTGAGTTGCTGAATGTGTTGAAAACTGAATCCAGGGAATCCAGATCCTAGTTTTTTAACACTAAAAAAAAAGTTTATTACCTACGGATAAAAATCCGTAGGTAAATTATATTAAACTAAAAGAATTGTCACCACCGATACTTCAACCACTAAACTATTAGAATATTTTAATAATAATTTACAACTAAATTATACTTATATTTATTCGTGTAAATATATAAATATATAAATATAAAAATATAAAATATATAAATATATAAATATATTCGTGTAAATATATAAATATATAAATATAAAAATATAAAATATATAAATGTATAAATATAAAATAATAAAATATATAAATATATAAATATATAAATATATAAATATATAAATATATAAATATATAAATATATAAATATATAAATATATAAATATATAAATATATAAATATATAAATATATAAATATATAAATATATAAATATATAAATATATAAATATATAAATATATAAATATATAAATATATAAATATATAAATATTTAAATATATAAATATTTAAATATTTAAATACATAAATACATAAATATATAAATATATAAATACATAAATAGATAAATATATAAATACATAAATACATAAATACATAAATATATAAATACATAAATATATAAATATATAAATACAAATATATAAATATATAAATGTATAAAATATATAAATATATAAATATATAAATATATCAAAATATAAATATATTTTATATTTATATATATTTTATATTTATATATTTTATATTTATATATTTTATATTTATATATTTTATATTTATATATTTTATATTTATATATTTATATATTTATATATTTTATATTTATATATTTTATATTTATATATTTATATATTTTATATTTATATATTTTATATTTATATATTTTATATTTATATATTTTATATTTATATATTTTATATTTATATATTTACACGGATAAATATAAATATAATTTATTTGTAAATTAGTATCAAAATATCCTAATAGCTTAGTGGTTGGAGTATCAGCCTCCGAGAGTACTGAGTTCGAATCCCGCTAATGACAATTTTCTTAATCTAATAATAATTCAAAGTTTTGAAAATACAATAAATAATAAAAATATAATATAAAGGGGAGGGGAGGGGGTTCTAGGTAATAATAAAGAATAAGGGAGGGGGTTGTAATAAATAAAAATTTTTTGTTTAGGTAAGTGCATTACCTACGGATTATAATCCGTAGGTAATTCCAAGCAGTGCATTACCTATGGATTATATTAAAGAATAAGGAGGGGTTGTAATAAATAAAAATTTTTGCTTAGGTAAGTGATTACCTACGATTATAATCCGTAGGTAATTCTACAGTGCATTACCTATGGATTATATTCGTAGGTAATACTATGACTAAATTACATACGGATTTTCTAAGAAATCGTGAAGTGATATTACCTACGATTTTGTACTACATTTTACCCGTAGATAATAAACATTTTTTTGTAGTGTAAGGCTATTAAAGCATATGCTAACCATAGTTAGTTAAAAATAAAGTAAATATTTTATTATGGATGATACATAAAATTGTTTGAATAATAAGTAATTTAATGGTGAGATCTATAATAAAATATTTAATTTTATTTTTAAATAATTCTGATTAAAAACTCCATGCTCTTAGGTATAACTCTGCAATAGAAAATGCCACCGTCACCAATAATAAGGAATAACCTAGAGGGACTCTCAGATTGAATAAGTTAACAAAAAAAACATGTTAATAATTAATAATTAATAATGGATTGTATTTGAATTTTGTTGTGCAATTGATGGGCACGTTGAATATTACCAAGATTCAGGATGCGGAATTCTTAGCTGGTGAATGCATGATATCACACTAATTCAGTCTCAATCAATACGTCAACACAGATCTGGAAGTTTAAGTTGATGACGTTTGATTAGTGGAATGTAATCAGTAATTGAATTGATATATTACTTCCTAAACTCAATTATTGTAGATTTGTTTAAGGTAAGTTGCCTAGTCTGACTAACACAATGTGATAATAAGTATAAACATTAATTTGGCTTGGGTTTCGTGTTAACTAAATGTTGCAACTTTTTGCAAATTCTATTTTTGCATACATGGGTACATGGTTAAGTCTGACTTAGAAAAAGAACGGTAACCTCCTGTTTCATTCAATTCCAAGTTCTCATTTTAAAATATAGAGAAATTTTTTAATTTTTTTTTTACATCATCTATAAGAATAGAATAAATTAGACTAGGTCAAACCATTCATTTTAACCATTCTAAGTTTGAATATGAAAAATAAAAATAACTATTTATTGACAACAACAAAATTATAAACTTATCCAAAATTCTAGTATCTCGTGGCAAAAAGCATACCGATATATTGTTACATTAAAGATTAAGTGATAAGTGTCTTAACTAAATAACTTAGATAAAGGAGAAAGAGATTTTTAAAAAGTTTGTTAAATATTCTGGATTAATAATAAGTATTTTTATAATAATCCAAAATAAATAGAGTTGATTATTATGTTGAGATGTAAAAACATACATATCCATTTCATATAAATTGTTGTGTTCTTATAATATAGAAAATGAGAAAAACTCTAATCTCAATCTCTTATTCTCTCCAATTTTGTGGGCGCATTAGTGCGTGTATGTTCTTTATTTGGATAGCACAATTTCGAGTGTGCATGTTAGTTCAAATATTAATATTCTTTCTTTAAGTACCTGTAGAAAACTCGAATCCTATGCTATCAAGAGCCCACATGTTAAACCCAACACCTCTTTAAATGCGGAGAGAACACACTATATATACACTTCCATTGAAATACATATACATAAAATTTTGCTTCACGCAGAATAGATCACGAAAATCAAGTGGATGTGAATCTCTAATCAGCGTGAGTTCATTATATTCCCTCATTCTGAACCGTGACTTCAACAAGAGCATGTATAGACTGTAGTACTGAGGAACTGTCCTTTGAACTAGATCGACAGCATGTAGTTCTAAACTAGTAACTTAGCTTTCCACTGCCACTACAGGTTGAACAGGATCGACTAGAAGAGCATTTTGTACAATAGCTCCACTTCTTTGGAAGTCTGGTATAAGTAATGGAGTTGAATGGCTAAACTCAAAATATAAATATTAGAGGAAAAGAGATATAAGAAAATAGTACCCAGCTGTGAATCGAGTTGCCATATTCTTGGCTTGGACTCTTGCCTTCTCAGCACTTTCACCAGAACGTTTCCTAAGAACGAATCCTTCACCATTGCATTCAGAACATATACCAGAACCTCCACAATCTTCACATGCTTTGAATTGAATCTTTAATTTCAAAAAATAATAACTTAATTTAGATAAACATGGTTGAATTCAGCACACAATTTAATCCTTGTTTTTTTCCTTCTATCTCAATTCCGGCAATAAGATCAATTAATTATCTAAGCTGTCTTACAAAATGAAGTGGGTGCATAAACCAACTTGGAGTCAATGAATTATTTATGCTGTCAGAAAATGAAGTTGATGCATAAACCAACTTGGAGAAGGCAATTACCAAGTTGTCAAGAGATATGAAAGGTCAACATTGTTAATTTTTCCAAGAAATCTCTTTAGTGAAACAGAATTAGTGTCACATAAGCAATGTGAATTCAACTAGTCCAATATATACATTACACTAAAACTACAACTGCAACAACAATTGAACAGTTGAAGAATAGAAGCATGACTAAGATTTGCGTGTTCTTGTTTGGACAATCAAGGTGGTTTTTTTGTGTAATGACATTGCTGAGTTTTTAAGTATAATAATAACGAGGAGTTCTGACCTGTGCTGACTCAGACGTTTTGGATCTCTTTACAAGAAGGGTAGCTGCTGCACCAACGACAGTTACAGCTACTGCCATTGAAGCTGCAGTCTCAGCCAGTGCAGAGGAAACGGTGGATATTCTCCTTCTTTGCAGTTGTAATTTCGCATCTGTTAAATGAATAAAATGAGTCTAGCAAACACAGCTTTCCCTTTGTATTTTATATCATTAACAATCAGGTTTTTCATCGGTGGATTTCGTTTTGTGACAGATGAGATGGAAGAGCCATCCATATTCAATACATTAAGTAAATGAGTAATTATTTTTTATCATTCAGTAATGAATAAGAAAGAAGAATTGAAATAAACTGAAAAGGATCACATGGGTGAAACTACATCATTATGAACCAATTTTAACTCCAAGTAACGGGTAGTTTTCATTGCAAATCACTAATTTCATGAACAGAATCTGTTTATATTTATTTTCGACGGTGAAGCAACATGATACTGATGCAGAATACTAGAACTGGGTGTAATAAAGAATCAGTTGAGAGTCCTTGAATAGTCTTAGAACGTGAGTTTGATGCCCAACTCAATCTCTAGAAAATCAACTAGTAAGCAAATATTCTAGTTTGATTAAACGGTGAAAACTCTAACAAATACTAAAGAAAGAAAACAATGATTTATGATTCCAATGTTAGAAATTTGTTAAGTGCTATAATTGAAGATCCATCGAATGTTTGTAATATTAACTACTAACAGTAATATTGATAAATAAGTATCTTGGTGAGGTCATAAGGAGGCTTTGGAAGTAAATATAGTAGTTCAGTTCCCTATTGAGACTCAGAACTCTGTTCTTTCTTTACATGGTATATTTAGGGTGTCTTCCTAACATGTATTAAGTTGTGAGTATTCTTGTTCTCCTATCTTAACAAGTACTACCAAATTGCGTGTATTAAATTGAATTCAGCCAAAGCCAATTGAAGAACCTACAACCAGCATTGATTATATGAACAGTTGAAACCAATATTCTTGTTGATCTGAGAAACGGTGAACGTGAACTACACGTCTACACCTAACAGGACTAGTATTACTCCTCCAAAAGGATATCAATGAATGGCAGGGTGGTTCCACCCAACAGAAACTAAGTAAAAACCACTCACACAAACCCATCTTGAATCCACACCAAAGTTAACTACTTGATTTATGAAGTTTCAGTTTCCATATAAATAAATCAATCAGCAAGTACAAGAAGGATTGATGAAGAACAATAAATAGACAGAGTAGACGCTTTATTTAGGAAAAGAAGAAGAAAAAATCTTACTGTGAGAGTGAGAGTGAGAGAAGCAGGGAAGAGATATAGAGGTAGCCATTCAGATAACAGTCGTGTTATGTTCTTTTCTGACCACCCAGTGTTACTTCCTCTCTGCTGCTCCCTTATCATCTTCACTCCTACACTACCCTTCTAAAAATAAATTAGCTTTAACATATTTTTTCTTTTTCTTTTTTTTTTGTTTCTTTAAAATAGTCTTTGTATAAAAAAACATATCAACAACATTCTTTTGTTTTAGTTTTTATAATAATATTTACTTTTTTATAAATAGTTTCTTTGAAAATTATTGGTAATGACTAAAAAGAAACTGTGTACCTATTAACAGAATATACTAAAAGATAAATATTGTAAGGAATAATAAAAATTAAAAAATAACAATAACTGTTTCAAAATATGAGGACCAAATTTTAAAAAATATATATATAGAGAGAGAAAACATATTTTGGTGATTTTTTTCCCTCCTTCTTTTATTTCTTATAAAATTGTTGTATACATTTGTGTTACAGAATTTCTTTTAACGGAGATAAAATGATTATTAGGTATATAATTTAAAAACAATTTTCCATATTCGTTCTTTTAATAACAACTTCAATAAAATAAAGTTTTTTTATTCATAATAAAATTGGGTGCATTAAAAAATTTAAAATAATTCACACGGGTTTAATAATCTCAAATACACTCCCTTAAAATTAATACGAGATTACGAGACAATACTAATTGTTTATGAAAGAGAGTAAAAATAATTTGCTTATTAAATTTGAATGAAAGTTGTTGTAATTATTAATTAAATTTAGTGTAAAGAATATGTAGAAACGAGTAAATGTGATAAAAACATACACATTTTGTTTTCAGCCTCATAAAAGTTCCTTACGGGATTAATTTCTCTCAAATTTCATAAAGGATTGTATTCCACCTTTGTAATTAGAGGGAGCATTAAGATAAGCATTTAAAATCCTTAAATAATTAATTAGTGATATTTCATATTTATAATTTATTATACATACATACATAATATTTTTAATTTTTTAATCAACAATTAAATTATTTATTGTAGTTTCTAAGTGAGTTATTTAATATAAGAGAGAAAAAAGATTATCATTTCCTTTAAGAATTTATATTTATTATTTATTTTATTATTTTTTTTAATAATTTATTAATTAAAATAAATAATTTTTCTTATATATAATAAATTATCAAAACAACTTCAATTTTTCAACTATTCAATCAATAATTTATTTAAACCAAGCAGTATCAATTAATAAGCTGGAAGATAAATTTAAATAAATATTAAGACCTTGGCCTTATATTATAAAAAAATGTTAAGCAATAATTATACATATATATATTTTTTAAGAATACGTAATATTGAAGTTTATACTTAATAATTAATTTTTCTAAAATACTTGATGGTTATTTTAACATCTATTTTATTTTAATTAATAAATTAACTACTGTGTGTGAATACTTACAATGAATAATTTACTTTTTATTATTTAGAAAATAAAATGAATTGCAAATGGACACTTTAAACAATAGTCGTATATGTCACTTGTGTGTCAGATACGTATTCATGTTGAACGCTACAATTCACGAACATTTTGGAATACTCATAGTACTTTATAATTTTGTACCTTTTTTAATTTAATAGGAATATCATACAATAAGATAAAAATATAATATCTTATTGCAACACTTTAATTCTTAAATACTCAGTTTTCCTTGTCATTTGAGATTTATATAGTGCTAATTTATTTTTATTTTTTTTAAGTTCGAAATTTTTTGGAACATTTTTGTTTGATTTGTGTCATGAGTCATGCCCGTGTCTAATGTAGCTTCATCTAGTGACGTGCTTCACGTGATCAAACTAATTTTAGCGGTGTCTTGTCTAATATTTCGGAGAAATTAATGTATGGTTTCTAAGAATTATGTGTTTGTAGTCCAACCTTTACATGAGTTAACTAATGTATCTTATACAACTTGGAGAGGTAATTATGGTGAAAAAATGATCCATTCCAATGCTGGTAAAATTTATTGAGTTTGTGAATCATAAATGGTACAGTTTGCATATTTTATGACCTTTTACTGTGGGTGGTTCAGCTGTGCATGAGGCTCTGAAACACTTCTTATAGATTCTCCCGTTCTATTCCAGTTTAGTTTTGGGTAAATTATTAGTGTCAGTGAAAAAATGCTTCATGAACATTTTTTGAGAACTACCTTGCATATTTGTGGAGTATGTGAGAAAGTAAGAGTTTATGTGTGAAGGAAATATAGTGGGGCCTATTGGGTGATGTAAAGTTATGTGTTGGGTGTGAGTAGGTGTGGCCAGTGTCAGTAGTTACGGTGCACCATGCAACCCATGTCTATTAAATTTCAGACCCAACTTAACCAATTGCCCCCAGGTTGCAGAAACTTTGAAAAAAGATGAGGGGAAACAAAACATAGGGGCAGTGGAGTTGATGTTCTTTTGCTTCTCTTTCAACGTCACAAGATTTACATGTTTCCTTGTTGTTGAATCATTTAAATTAAGAGTATAATGCAAAAGATTTTACAATGTGAACTAGTTATGATGAGGATTTGTGTGGATGGGGGGGTAATCTACCACTCCCAAACAAGATTGATGAGGCTCATTAGGTGGCCAACCAATGTAATGGGAAGTAAAGACCATAAAGTGCGTTAATTAATCGCTTTCTATTCTTACAATGACTCATCAACAGCACTCATAATTGTGCTATTATGTTACCTACAATCTTCTTTAAATGGTTCCCCAATTGGTTGGCAATATCTTCAATTATTTTAAACTGGGTGAGATGCTGCTACACTTTTTTTCTTAATCACGATAATAAAAAGAGAAGGGTATTAACAATATATTGTCTAAGATACATTTTATAGTGAGAGATATGGTGAGTAATTGTGAACAAAAAGAAGATATTACTTGGATTTAGGGGCAAAAAACAGCACAAATTTGACCGAGTGCAATAACATGAACTCACGAGCATCCTCACTTGGAACACAGAAAAAAAGAGCACCAACCTCGCCAACTCACCTCCACCACACCCCCAAAGTTATGGTGTACCACCAATGAGCTGTGCATACCTGCATTCACTAGCTATTCACGAGCCTATTTAAGACACATGGTCTTAACCCCTTCACAACAATCTAGCATAAAACCCCTCCTGTCTTCCATAAACTGAAACCAAAGACTACAAGTTCAAAAAATTTAAATGTCTCCTACTACACGTATCTCCCTTCTGGCCCTTTTCCTCATACTATCTCTAAATTCCCTACACATGACCATGGCTGCAAGGGTCATACCCCGAAGTGCTCCTAGCACAGTTACAAGGCCTCTTTTTATGTCCGAAGCTGAAACTTATTTGAAGCCACATCTTGGTCACAAACAAAATGTCTTCCGAGGGAGACAAGTGAAGAATTGCTTGCCGAAAGGGTATAGGCATAACTCAGCTCCAAGCAGATTCGTCAACTATGACACTCTAGGCTCTAGTGGCTGTTCTGGAATGCGTTTGGAAAAGCCATGAGGGTGATGCCATGCTGAATGGAAAAGACTTTCAGGTGTTTGTAAATGGTTGTTTCCGATATCGTAAGATGTGAAAATTGTGTCGTTTTGCTTTGCATTTTGTGATTGATATCTTTTACAATTTTGAGGAACGTGCATAGGCAAGGTGAAAATGTACTATTATTTTCTTGTTGTGTATAGCTCAATGTGTTGGACATTGACAAAACATGAGAAACAGGGAAGATGATTTTGTTTTTACCAAGCCATCAGCACATTTGCCATGCATAGTGTCCTAGCTTTATGCTAAACACAATGTAATAATGCCAAAGGAATATTATATACCATGTACCTCCCAAATAGGGTGATGTGATATTATACTATGTAATGTTTTACATATTATCGTGTAGTACATTTTATTTTGTGTGATTGGCGCATTAGCCTACTAAAATTTTGTGTTTGTTTAGTCTTAAGTTAATTAAACATTAAAAACTACCGAAGAAGTGTATGAAGATGTTTCTCATGTTTTTTACTTACAAGTTTGTTTGTTTGGAAAGAATAGAAAACATTCATGTGATTTTTATTCTCTCATAGACAATTAGAAGAAGAAAAAATACGCCCCATCCTTCCGTGTCATTCTAATATATGATTTGATTCTCTTAGGTATGTAATTTAGTTTTAATTTCTCCTAAAAAATTATTTGTTTTTGGCCTTTATAATTTTGGAATACACTACTTTTATTCCTCTGAGACCCTTTTTTTTTCTTTATAGTATTATTTAAATCATTTAGATATTAAAAAAGAAAAAAATTATTTTGACAACTGCACTTTTACAAACATCACATTTATAAATGGTTTCGGTATTATAATAATAATTTTAATTTATTTTTATTTTTATTAAATTTTTTTATAGTTATTATATTACCAAAGTGAGTTGTTTTGGGTTGTCAATATACCAGGGTTTATTAAAAAATATTAAATCTCAATTAAGAGGACTAAAAGTAAAAAACTGCACTTTACATAAAGTTTGAAAAGTAAAGAAAACATATTTTCCTTGCGAAATACTATATTGCCAATTATGAGGAATAAGCAATGTTGTGAAGGATTTTATTGGCGATTGATTCACAATCTGACATCCAATAAATTGATTGACAGGTAACGTTTATCTCCCAAATTAGGTTGATAACATTATACTAATAACCCAACTCAACTGAAATTGGGCAGCAATCTACGAATGATGCGCTCAATTATTTTCCAACATAATCAGAAATTCGTCCACCATATAGTTATCTGATATCCGAGTTTTACAAAAGCAGATACTACTAGTGTTATTTACCATATTTTGTATATGAAAATTAAAATATATATAAAAAAATAAAAACAAAACTTAAAACATGTCGTCTTTTGAGCAAACTATGTAAACTTCAAACAAAGAAAAACCTAACTATACAGATCATCTTCTTCAGCCCCAGCGGCAGAAGATGCAAAAGGGTCAGATCCAACGGTCCTACTACCAGTCTCTGGAAACCTAAACTCACTTCCAAAGCCACGGGATTGTTGCAAGGTCTGAGCAAATGCCTGGTATTTGCGTATATCAGCATCACTAACACTCCTACGCGCAAACTTCATTGACTCTTCAAAATGAGCAGCCTTTATCTCTGCAACATCCTCCTCATCGTCTTCATCCATGGCCTCAGGGTTTTCTCTTCTCTTCTTCTCACGCTCTATGTCCTGAAAGAAACCAAACAGATATCTATATCAAGATCGAACATAATGATAAGAAACTCATTGAACAGGTATAAGATAAGAATCAGAATCTTGAATCAGAACATAGGTGAGTGGTGCGCCTCACTCTATTCCAAATCCATCTATTCACACTGTATCCACTAACTCAACAAAAATAATACCTTTTCTATGTTTTCTCTAATAGCATATTTGCATGCCCGCTGGCATATCTCTGTTATATCAGCACCACTAAAGCCTTGAGTATATTTAGCTAGTGCTCCCAGATCAGCATCTTTTGATACAGGTGACTTCCTCATGCATGCCTTGAAGATTTGATAACGCGATTCCTCATCAGGGAGAGGAATATAGATCAGTTGATCAAGACGACCAGGCCGAAGAAGTGCTGGGTCAATAATGTCAGGTCTGTTGGTTGCCCCAATTATGAACACGGTCTTTTTGGCAGACATGCCATCCATTTCAGTCAGAAGTTGATTCAGAACTCTATCAGCAGCTCCACCAGCATCGCCAACACTACTTCCTCTCTGCAACAATGACAGTGATATTAATATGTGAGTGCACACACAAACAATTGCTTTCGTGTGTGGGGATCATTGGAATATTTTAAAACATGTATAGGCAATAATAAACACGGATACAATTAAAACTCAATCTAATATATATAAATCAAGAGGCAAACTGATATGACAAACTAGTAATAAGTGACAAAAATAGAGACCTGGGTAGCAATGGAATCAAGCTCGTCAAAAAAGAGGACACATGGAGCTGATTGCCTGGCCTTGTCAAAAATTTCTCGAACATTGGCCTCACTTTCACCAAACCACATAGTCAGCAATTCTGGACCTTTGACACTGATGAAGTTAGCTTGACATTCATTAGCAATTGCTTTGGCCAACAAAGTTTTCCCACATCCTGGAGGACCATAGAACAGAACTCCTTTTGATGGTGACATACCAAACTTCTCAAATTTTTCAGGGTGCTCCACAGGATATTGAACAGTCTACACCACAAAGATAAGATCCTTTCAGATTATATTGATATTAAACTAAGTAACAATGTTTAACCAAGATAGTTGGGATTTGTAACCTCTTGCAGCTCACGCTTGACATTCTCAAGACCTCCAATATCTGCCCAGCTCACATTAGGCACTTCAACAACCTGTCAACAAAGATGATTAATTAGGGGAAAGAACAATAAACACAGAAACCCTCACTAGCTAATAAGCTTGTAAGTTTAAAGGAATTTGAGAATATATAAAAAAACTACTAACAGTTTCTCGTAAAGCAGATGGATTGCTAGTTCCTAGAGCAGTATGGAAATGCTCATTTGAAACTGCCATAGAATTCAGTATTTCAGCATCAATACTCTCATCTTCCAAATCAATGACATCCATCTTCTCCCGGATGCATTGCAGAGCAGCTTCAGTGCAAAGAGCAGCAAGGTCAGCACCAACATATCCATGAGTATCTTTTGCAATTCTCTCCAAATCAACCTACAGGAAGGGAACCAGTAATGTTGAATAACGGAAAATTCAAAAGTGGAAGCCAATAAATATTAATAACTATTAATTAGAAACAAAGCTTCACGATTTACGACAACCTGATTGAGCATTATTTACATAAACTATAATTTACATTATGTGTAACTTGAATCCATAACTATTAATTAGAAACAAAACTTGAATAAAGGTAATTTCTTTTTCAAAATAACGAAGCTAACATTTTTTTTGGGACCACTTCTATTCATGGCCACAACGCCAAGGTATCTCTAGACTACCCTCAGAACCAACCCTGCAAAAAGACACGGAAAAGAAAAAAAATACAAAACTGACCAACATAAAATGAAAGTTAAGCATTGAAGAACTTACATCGTCTGAAAGCTTCATGTTTTTGGTATGTATGCGAAGGACTTCAAGTCTCCCAACTTCATCAGGAACACCAATATCAATTTCCCTATCAAATCTACCAAACCTTCTCAATGCAGCGTCAATGCTATTTGGTCGATTTGTAGCTCCAATAACAATAACATGAGCACGAGATTTCAATCCATCCATAAGAGTCAAAAGTTGAGAAACAATCCTCCTTTCAACTTCACCGTGTGTTTTCTCTCGCTTGGGTGCAATAGAATCAATCTCATCAATAAAGATGATGGAAGGGGCATTCTTTTCAGCTTCTTCAAATGCTTTCCTAAGGTTGCTTTCACTCTCTCCAGCCAGTTTGGACATTATCTCTGGTCCATTAATACAAAAGAAGAATGCTCCAGTTTCATTAGCAACAGCTCTTGCTATCAAGGTCTTACCCGATCCTGGAGGCCCATACAGCAGGATTCCTTTGGGTGGTTTCACACCAATTGATTTAAAAAGTTGTGGATGTCTAAGTGGAAGCTCTACCAACTCACGAATCTGTGCCATTTGCTTCCTGACACCACCCACATCATCATACCCAACCTCATCCAACCTTTCTTCATCCTCTCTTTTCACAGGTTCTCCCTCACAGAATATTTCAGTGTCTGGAGCAACCACACAATACTCCCCAGGATCAGTTTCAATGACCTTAAACTCTACACTTCTCATCCCTCCTCGGACCAGAAATAGATCTCCCTTTCTGACAGGACGATAAGCCTCCAAGAAATAAGCTGCAAGTTATAAACAGAAAAGTAGTGAAAACCTTATACAAATACAACCACATAAATGAATAATGGAAAGGTGATCGAATCAAATCCCTGTAACATTAATAACCCCACACCATCTGTTCCAATAAAAACGGCCAAAGGCAATCAACATGGAGAAAAAGAAAATAATGCTATTCCGGGTACATTGGGTTGGCCTTCTTTGAATTTATCTTATGACATAACCACTTTGTAAGTATTTTGAGAACATATGAAAATAACTAATAATATATTCACAGTCTGTTTTCAGATCATTTCAACAAGTTTGTCACACAAACATGAAAACAATCTAACAATATTCCCTCTTCGATTATTGAAGCGACTTATAAATAAATATTCCATGGTAGACACTAATTCAATTAAAACTTAAGTCTACTGTCGACCCAAACCCATCAATTCACGAAGCAAATTTAAAGGGGGGGTGTAACATGCTCATTTACGAGGTATTTGGACAATAAAAACCATATGCAAAAAAAAAAAACATAGAAAAGTGACAGTACAATAAGAAAACAGCAACAAAGTATTACATTATAATAATCATTAATCACATACACTCAAAAGTTAAAAGAGAAGAAGGTTTGACTCACGTCTCAAATAAGCATCAAAGAGATTGCCAGTGACACCTTCAATGGTATCATCAATGGGAAGAATGTGGACACGCTTCCCATACATAACATCAGGGCACGAATGTACAGACACAACATCCCCGAGCCGAACCCTCAAATTCGACCTCACAACTTTGTTAATCCTCAACTTGGACTCTTCACATTGCTCGTCTGCAAGAACAATGCAAACCGTGTCCCTACGCTTCTTCCCCTACACCACAAACAAAATAACAATAATAATAATAATAAATAAATAAAACAGATAAGTGAAACTCATTATTAGGGAATTGAGTGAACCTTGATGAGGATAGTATCCCCGTGAAAAAGTTGATTTCTTTCCATGGTTTGAGGGTGCATGGAAACCACTGAGTTCTCATCGGTAATGGCTTCATCCACCATCAACCGGTTTGGTGATTTCTTCCGCTTGAGAATAGCGGTCGAGAAGTCTTTCTTCCCGGATTTCCTGAAATTCGATTCCAACCACAAAACCAACAAAAACTTAAATTTCATCCCCTGGGTAATTCAACATTTAGGAAAAAACAGAAGAAAGTTATCGAGGACGAGTTGACTCACGAGTCTGACGATTCGGCTGGCTGAGACATTGGTGGAATAGAAGATGAGAGCAGAGTGACAGAGAGCAAAATGCAGAGAGGAGGAAGAGAGTGGTGGGTGAGTGAAGTTGAGGGGTTAGTCTCCTCTTCTACTTTATATAAGGAATTAGAAACCAATCACTTATCTTTTTCTATTAATTATTATTATTATATATAAAAAAATCATAATAATTAAATTCATAAAGATTAGAATATAGTAATTATTATAAGAAAAAATTATATCCAACAATATAAATTCAGTTTGTATTATTCTTCAAATATATATAAGATTTTATTTGTTAATATACAATATATTTAAGAAAATATAAATTATTCAAATAAAACTCTAAATTTAATTGGATAAAAATATCAACTATAATACCTAGATAAAACAAAATAACCTCTGATCATAATTTTTTTATTATATTTTATTTTATATTTTATATCAAACAATTTGGCTTGATTTATGGTTTTAAATTTTAGAGCTAAATAAAAAATATACGTATTGTTAAGATTTATTTTATGTTTTTTAAATATATAACACTTACTGATCAACTTGGATGAAGATAATAATATTTAATAATTTATATATAATAATCATTATTTTGTTATCATTATATTATATTATATTATTATGTATAAGTATTATTTTTTTATTATGATAAATAAACATTAAATAAAATTATTTTTATTTTACTTTTTTATTCTATAATATCTTTATCAACAAAGAAATCTTAATGTGTTCCTAAAATTATTAGATCAAAATTTGCTTAACTTTAATTAGATAAAAATATATTCTTAGTTATCATAATTAATTTTTTTATTCAATTAGATTTTATTTTCTTAAATCAAACGATTCGGTTTTATTTATGTCTTAAATTTTATAAATAAATAAAATGTATGTATTATTTATTTTTTAATGTATCACACTTACAAATATATAATAAATTTGAACTAAGATAATAATAGTTTAATATTATCATATATAATAATCATTATTTATTATTATGGTTATCATTTTAATTATTTTAATTTTTGTATTATTATTATTTATTTTATTATTGTGTCATATACAGTATACTATTATTTTATTTTTATTGTGATAAACAAACATTAAATAAAATTAATTTTTATTTTATTTTTTATATATTTTCTTATCTCATTTATCTTACAATTTTTAGTGTATTAAAATATTTATATAATTTTTATTTTAAAAATATAATTTCTATTATTTTAATATAATAACTACACAAAATTATATATTAATAATAAAGTCTAATCTTTTGATGATAATAATAATTAATAAACATTAATAGATTGGATGGAGAGATAAATAGTTCAACCTATTATATTCTTTTATAATTTCTGTGTTATAAACAGAATTAATATTCATTCTAATATACATTAAAATATAATATTTAATTTTATTATTATTATTATTTAAATTATTTTTATTACTATTATATCTTTATTTTTTATCATAAATAATTTATTTTTTTAATCTATCAATGTCAGTAATTGTCAAATAACTTTTAATATTTAATTTTATATTTTTTAAATATTTATTAATTATAGATATTATGTTAATTAAAGATCTCATCCTACAAACCATTCTTTAATATTAACTAAATATTTCAATATTTTATAAACACATTCAATGTTATTTACAAATATACTTATAATGATCAAAAAAGAGAAATGTGACCCCATTTTTTTATATGACAGAAACAACGAATTATACACATTATAGTAGCAGTATGAGTATTATATATATTTAATTACTTAGTTTCTAGTATAGCTTTTTTAATATTTTATATTTAAAATTTACATGTTTTAACCATACAAAATGCTATTTTATTTTTTTATATGCAAAAGTTTATGATTTAATTAATTTTTTATATTTTTTAATTGCTGCTGTTATAAAATATTACTATTTTATTATTACAATGAAAATATGGTTACATTTATTTGAGTATTTAGGCATGTTTGAAACTTAGTTAATTTTGAATAAATAAAGCTTAATTTATTGCATTTTCATTTAAGATAACATTAAATTAATATAATATACTATAATATAATATTATTTTTATTTGATAATTTAAGTTAAACTAATTAGTTAAATTTATAAGTTAATAACTTATTATTGATTTTAGTTTATCAATTAAATAGTTTGTTTTTATATGATTTGATTTATTTTTATTGGAAGAATGTATTTGAGAGAAATATTTGGGTTTTTTTTTTAATCAAATGGGACATTTTAAAAAAAATATATGAAAATGAGTAAATTTTTTAAAAAATTACTATAAATGGTACAAATATTACCCTATACGAAAAAGTCATACTTTATAATATGATTTCGATTTTTTTTTTAAGAAGTCGTATTATATAAATTTATATAAAAGTATAATACGAATTCTAATTTTATATTATAATAATTATTATAATTAATAATAAATTAAATAAAAATGATAATAATTTAATTTATATTATAATTATAATTAAAATTATTATTTATTTTATTATTTAAATTAATATAATTATTAAGTGAGTTATAATTATTAATGTAATAATTATTATATTAATATTATTAAAATAAAATAATATAAAAATGAATTATTATTAATAATATTATTAATAATAAAAAAAATAATAAGATAATTTTATTAATAAATATAAGTTTTTTATTATTATTATTTTAATAATAATAGTAATAATAATAAAATATTATAATGAATAGTTATTAATACGATTATACTTTTATTAATAATAATAACAGCAAATATATAAATAAGTAATATAATTATAATTATTAAAATAATTATTTTATTTTTAATATTATTTTTATTTTATATAATTTTAATTATTAATTTATTTTATTATTAGTAATAAAATTGAAATAATAGGTACTATAATTATATTAATTTTAATAATATTAATTTTATTTTATTATTAATAATACAATATTAATTTAAATAATAGAATAAATAATAATTTTAAAATTATTATAAATTAAATTATTATTATTTAATTTATTATTAATAATATAAAATTAGAATTTGTACTTCTATATAATAATTAATACGATATTTATATAAATTTATATAAAAGTCATTTTATCTTCGTTTAAAAAAATTAAATCATATTATAAAGTACCACTTCTTCATATAGAATTGTATTTAATAGCACCACTTACTCAAATCTATAATCTTTTAAAAATTTACCTTTTGATAAATTATAAATTAAAAAAAATCGCACTCATTTGATTAAAAAAAAACGGAAATATTCATACACATTAATTTCACAGGTGATTGAAGATTGTGGTTTCAATCTCCGTGTTCATAATGAAGGTTTAATTAGTGGAAGAAATATTTGAAACATTTGTAAACCTAATTCGGATTATTTGAAAGAAAAAAAAATTATATATATATATATATATATATAATTTTAATTTGATTCTATATGTTATAATATTTGTTTTATTTGTTCAATAATTTTGATGTTTGTTATTATTTTAAACACCAGACAAAAAGAAAAAATTATTGCACATTTTCTCTCTTTGTAGGCAACTTGTCCATATCTCTTATATCACTTTACTTTATCCTTCTCTGTATTATATTTGTTTTTCACCAATTAAAAAAAAATTGTTCCACAACTTTGATAGTTACTTGATTTTTAGTTTTAAGCAAACGCTTATCTTTATATACTTTCAGTAAAATAATATTCATATTTTTTTATTCTATTTACGTATAATTAATTAAATTATTTAATCATAATGAGGTAACACTAGTGATAAATTATTTATTATGAGATATTGTTGATAAAAATACATGCTAATTCATTTATATTTATCGCTCAAATATAATTTTTAAATAATTATCACAAAATTTATAATATTTAATTATATTATAATTTATTACTGAATGGAGGTATGATTATTTCATATTATTAACATATAATAATTAAATTCTTGTATTTTAAATTTTCATAATTTTATTTTGTTGAAATTTTAGTTAATATGTTAGTTATTAAATAAAATAAAGAATATCAACATTATTTTATTAAAGATATAAAAGTAAGTATTTATTTAAAAATTAGATAAAGTATCATCTTAAAAAATCTTAATAATGCTGAAGTGTAATTTAAAAAAAAATTATCTTCATATATGATTTTTCTTAGCTTAGGATGTATTTATTTTGTGAACATCGGATAACATCTTAAAATTGATTATATAATTTTTTAAAATATAATATATTAAATAATATTTTGGTTAATTTAAATAATTTTAAAATAAAACTCATGTAAAAATAAATAATATATATATATATATATATATTGTTAAGTTATTATAAAAGAATATATATATATATATATATATATTAAAATAATAATTATAGTTTAAATTAAAATATATTTACTAATTATTAAAATCATGTTAGTTAATTAATTATTTTTTTCAGAGATTATTGGAAAAAATATATATGATCTTATCTTTTTAAGAAATAATGATCTTATATTATCTTTTATATTAAATATCTTTTATATTAAGTGTAAGTAAAAAAATAATTAATTATGATTATAAATAAGGGTTATGGGAGTAAAAGAGAAAGAGAAGAGAATAAAGGGGAAGAGAGGAGAGAAGGAAAGAAAGAAAGAATAAAGGAAAAGGAAGGAGAGAGAAATGGAGAGGAAAAGAAAGAAAAAAAAAATAATAAAAAAAAATTGGTACAATATCTTCAATTATTAAGATAGAGAATAAGACTATTATTATTTTATTTTAATTATAGTTGTGGAGTGAGGTGTCTTTAACCTCATTATATTTATTTTGTTACTTATTTATTTATCTTTAACTATTTACTAACATGTCTTATATTTATTTATTTATCTTTAGTCATGCACTTGTCTTAATTTAATTATCTTCAGTTACGTACTGGTCGTGCTTTATGTCTCCAGTTACTCACTAGTCTAATTTATTTATGTCCAGTTACTGGTCTGTTTGTTTTATGTTCGATTAC